AAAAATTAAAATATGATTTATGCGAGAAAAAAGAAACCTTTAAAGCGAAATTTGGTAAAGGAGTAACATTTAAAAATGGAAATTTCATTTTTATTCTGGAAAAAACTGGATATTATAATTGCAATGGGTAGAAATAACGAAAAAAAGACTTTTTTTCAGGAAAGTGAGAGAGAAATTTTGCAAAAATTTCACTAATTTGCCATAAAATATAGGCTAATTCTTTTTTCCTGCATCGCAAATGACGTCTTTAATGGTACATTTCAAAGGACGCACAATGTAAAGAACGGGACCTGGAACACGCAGTAATGATAATAAGGTCCACAATAATAATAATAATAATAATAATAATAATAATAATAATAATAGTGATAATAATAATAATAATAATAATGATAATAATAATAATAATGATAATAATAACAAAGATAATAATAGCGCCAAAAAAACAAAGATAATAATAGCGCCATTCTTTAAGCTACGACTTTATCCGATAACTATAATATAGCGAATTCTGAAACAAGATAATTACGACGATGATAACAGTAGCTATTATCAATACCGCTATTGTAGGACTACTATTAGTAGCTTTTATCTGCACACCGATTGCTTGAGCGGTCTTGGTATTCTTACAATCATTGTTTTGACAACGATAATGTTAATAATGATGGTAATGGCAAGGAAGAAGTTCTTGTTCATTTGGTATTATAAATCTTTCCAGTTATATCATACAAATTTGCTGTAACAAATTTTCGTTAAAAAACTGCGTCGCGAAATCTTTGATGTTCCTCTCAAATTCCGAAGCAGCAGCGTCATTGTTATTCTTGTTGTTTGTTATTGTTGTTATTGCTGTCGCGAGCACCGATGCCATGTCCATAAATGAACTCGCCATCACAAGGACACTTTTTTTTGTGATTTCATGCCGAATTTCGGGATGAAGAAAAAGGAATGTATTTTTGAAATTTTTTTGCAACTTTTGAAATGCCAGTGTACGAATTTGACAAAGTGTAAATAATAGCTTTATCGCCTTGTGGCCAAATGATGAACAAATAACTGCGATTTGGAAATG